GGTACTTTGGAGAAACAAATCCACAGCAACTCATGTATAAGAGAGAGTTTTATGTAAAGAAAGTATGCATCAAGAAAACATCCCAACCCAGTGCTGCCCAAGCCCAGAAGTCCAACATTAACCCATACCCAACACCAGTCCACAAAGTCCTTCACCTCACAAAACAGAGACAATGATGCCGACTGCAGGAGGAAAGCTGAGTCCGTGAATGTATAAGCATCTCAGCACTGATGGGTCTCCACACGGCTGTTCTAGCACCCAGGGCTGCATCGGGATAGGTCCATGTGGCTTCTTCTTGGGGGTGTCTTGTATGAAGTCAATCTTGCAAGCTGAAGCAGGGAACTGCTAAGGCAGCTTCACCCTGGTGCGACCATCAAAAGCAAGAGACCTGAGAACTCGAAAGGCGAGGCTCACCACCCATTTATCCCTCCGCCCTTCAATTAACCCAGCATGTGTTTATCGGCCAGGTTGGCACAATTAACTAACTTACTCACCTGAAGTAAACCAACCAAAACCCAAATAAAAAGTAATCAGCAACTCCCCCCAAACAATCCCAAGCCACTGGCTAAGTCTAGATAAAGTCTTAAATACTGTCAAACATGCAGAGAAAGGTACCTGTCATCATTGGCAATGCCTTTTGCAGAAAAAGGAGCCGAAGCAGAGGTGGAGCACCCAGATTTGAACATACAGCATAGTACACAGCTCACGGCCTGTGGGCCTGTCTCAGAATGAATCCACCCCCACCCTGCATGCCCTCTCTGGAACCCCGTGTGTGGAAGACATTCTTGTCCTGGGGTTTGTCTTTTGGGTAATCACCAGTTCTTATCAAGTGTCCCTTGTGCCCAGCAAGCAGAAATAGTCTGTCCCAACATATTCATAAAAAGTAACAGTGCTGGTGGAGAAGTGTGATTAAAAACCTCATTCCCTGTTAACCACTCCACGAAGGTGGAAGACAGAGAAAACAGTTTTATAAGTGAATAAGCATTAACCCAGTTGATGTGCAGGACAGGCAATCTGATACAGAGACCTTAGAGGAATCTGATGCCTTACATAGCTGTTATTATTAAAGGTGCTCTGGTGGCGTAGTGGCTAAAGCAATCGATGACTTACTGAAAGGTTGTCGGTTCGAACCTACCAGCTGTTCCATTGGAGACAGATGTGACAATCTTTCCCATAAAGATTTGCAGCCTTGGAAATCTTGGGGAGCACTGCTACTCTGTCCTCTAGGGGTGCTAAGGGTTAGAAAGACTCAAGGGCAGTGGGTTTGGGGGTTTGGTCGCCAAAAACTCCAACTCCAACTCCCTGTTGTTGAGTCTTCTAGGGCAGAGTAGAACTTCCCCACAGAGTTTCTGAGCCTGTAACGCTTATGGCAGTAGAAAGCCTCATCATTCTCCCCTGGAGCAGCTGGTGATTTAGAACCGCTGACCTTGCCCGTGGTTAGCAACCAAATGCACAACCTCCTACACTCCCATGTCACAAGGCCTATTCAATGCAGGCGGGTGCATCTTAGAAAGTCTTCTACCTTTTGAACAGTTGGATTTTGTCCTTGCTTTCTGTGGTTAAGGGAATAAAGAAGGAGCCCTTGTGGTATAGTGCTTCAGTGCTCGGCTGCAGCCCAAAGGCCTACACCTGGAAATTGGGAGAAAAGACTTGGTGATCTGCTTCTGCTCTGATAAAGATTCTCTCTCTCTCTCTCTCTCTCTCTCTCTCTCTCTCTCTCTCTCACTTGACTCAGAGCAACCCTATAGGATGGCAAATCCAGGGACACTCATATATGTGTAAGAAAGAGCTTCATATCAAGAAGTCATTGTATATCAAGAAAACATCCCAGCCCAGTCCAACTCAAGTCTGTAAGTCCGACACTAGACCGTATGCCTCTCTTTAGACTCATGTAGCCCCATGAAATGATGCAGAATGCAGGAAGACCACAGGCTGGTGGGTGCAAAGTCACGTGGATCCAATGGTAGAGGCTTTGGCAGCTCTCAGAGTGACTGGACAGCAGGAAGGTGAAGCAGAGAGAGTGAAAGAGAGAGGAGTTCCCTGGACCCTCTTTATGAGAAGGCCACACCTACACGGAGTCATTATTAGGCTGATTGACAGGCTAGATTCCACCCCTACACTTTTATATATCTTCAAGATGACATGAAGTTATGTAACTATCACAGCTAGTATTTAAGTCCTATTTTATCTTTTTTTAAAATTTTAAATAAACTATGATATTTCACTCCAAAAACCACATTTATGTTTGTTTAGTGTAAAATGCTGTCTCCCTTAGAATCTTTGAATAAGACTAACACTGGCCTGGTAAAATGCCCCATTTTAATCTCAAAGCTCAAAGTCCCCCTGAGTCCTGTTATTCTCTAGTTCAATGGTCAAAGCCCAAACACATCTTCTCAACTGCACGCAGAATGTCAAAGATTGTCAGGAGTACACATAACAGGGCAAATATTTTAAATCAGGGATAGCAGAGGCTTCCTCTTTGTCTACCCTCTCCTTAGCTATTTCAACATTTGAAACTGAAGTCAAGACCTTTGGCAATTTATAATTTCCCAGTGGCAAAGCATTTGCCATGGGGCTCCTTCCCAGAAGGACGTGTGAATGACAGTTACCAGCAACGCTCACGGATGTGTCATCCTGCTCACTTGGTTGGTGGCGCTGATGGCCCTGCAGGTGCAGAGAGGACCTCGCATTCCAGGTGGTGATCTATCTCAGCCTGCCTTCCCAGGTCCCCACAGACATCTTAACTGGGTGCCTAGAACTCTTGTCATCATCCAATAACTCCTGCTCACTAAGAAATTCCTGTTCACTTGTAAGGTTCAATGACGACATTGTGGTTATTTTTTAAAAAGTCAAAATCTCTTAGAGGATGGGGTACCTACAGTATACAGTGCTTAGCATGGATTTGTATATAAAAGAGTGTCTCTGATTTGATTTTAAACCTCTACACCAATCCCACACAAAAGTGTGTGTGTGTGAGAGAGAGAGAGAGAGAAAGAGAGAGAGAAGGGGTGGTACAAGAGAGGAGGGGAAGAAAACATGAAAAGAAGCATTAGTAATAGAAGCTAGGTGATGAGAGAATTTGCTCCCTAATTCTGTGTATTTAAACTTTTCCATAATAAAAATGAAATACAAAGTCATCATGTTGAACCACACCGGCATTCACTGACATTTACTGAGGCATACAATAGAATTAGCTGACATCAACTATTCAAATGGAGACACTGTCCATAGCAGACAGCCCCCAGAGTGTTTCCCAAAATACAGATTCCCTTCTTCATCAGAGCATTTGTTGCCCCTTGGCTCTTGGCCTTGTGCTTGTGTTTTAAATGAGCAACTGCAAATTCATAAAACACACCATGTTAGCCGTTGTGCAGAGATGAGAATGCTACGCTGTAACATGGCCATGCTTAGGACCGGCTGGGCTCAAATCTGTACCAAGGCCGGTGGCTTTTGTGATTAGAATCTGAGAGGACAGATGTCCTTTGTGTGACTCACAAAGGCACTGCAGATGCTGAGAGAAGGGACACATTCCTGATTTGCATGCCTGGAGGCCAGCCGCGCCTTTCAGCACTGGCTGTATTTCTCATTCCTGGCTCCAAGAAGCCAATCCATAGTGATGCTTTTCTAAGGATGACTGGAATTGGACATGCCTTTATTAATCTCCAAATATTCAAGCACACGTTCCTTTCTAGCTTCCAAGAGCATGGTGCGTATTCATGCAATTAATTACATGCGATGTGCTTGATAACCTGGTGGCACAGGGGTTAAGCGCTCCATTGCAAACCACAAGGTTGGCGTTTCTTATCAGTTCACCCACGGGAGAAAGATGTGGCCGTCCATTTCCCTAAGGATTAAATAAAAAACAAAAACCCAAAAACCCTCATTGCCATTGAGTCAATTGCAACCGAGAGGTACTCTATAGGACAGACTAGAATGCCTCTGTGGGTTTCTGCGACCGAATCTTTACAGAAGTAGAACGTCTCGTCTCTCCTCCCACTGAGTGGCTAGTGCTTTCGAACTGCTGATCGTGCGGTGAGCCGGCCGATGGGTCACCCACGACACCAGCAGGCCCCTTGGGAACCCTACAGACAGTTCTACTCTGTCCTTCCGTGGTCACTAGGGGCTGGGATGGACTCAGTGGCCGTGGGTTTGGTTCTGACTTGATGTGCGTGTGATGTTTATACTATCAAAAACCTGTGTGGTAAACTACTTAGAATGAAAAAAAGTTGTGCCATTTTAGCCACTTTTACATTTCCAGTTCAGTGACAGCAATGACATTTTTTCATATTTAAAAGAAAATAAAGAAATTAATGCACCAACCACTAAAGCTCATTAAATATATACATGATTGAACTATTGTATTATATGACATGTGGATTATGTGCCAATAAAACTGTTAAAAAAAATAACAAAGCAGCCAACCACCACCTCGAGCAGAGGCTAGTTGAAGGGAGGTGAGCATAGCCACGTGCACTGGGATGGCTGCCTGACCTGGCCCTGCGCTTGGGTTCCAGGCAGCAATAATGGAGCCGACCTGGTCGAAGCCTAGGCAGGAATCTGAGCAGGGCCGGCCTGTCCGCCACAGTACCCGGACCTGTACCTGTAAAATGACCACAGCTTCACTCTCTCCCCCAAAGAAGCCCAACGGTCAAAGAAGACAGGAGGAGCAACAGCGTCTGGCACAGGTGTCTGAACAGGAACACCGGATCCGTTCACAGATGTGGGCTTATTGCTCCGTTCCGGGCCCATCTCTCCTCTATGTACTTTTTATTTGGCCCGCCTGTTTTATGTAGCCTTTTGCTTTCAGTTTTAGAACGGGGCTGCTGTCCCCCCATCTCCACCCTCGCCCCAGCTTGGCCAATAGAAACTGTATTACTTTTTTTTCTTTCTTGATTGCATGTTTTTTGTTTTCTTTTTTAACGTTTTATTAGGGGCTCATACAACTGTTATCCCAATCCATACACACATCAATTGTGTAAAGCGCATTTGTACATCGTTTTTCAAAACATTTTCTCTCCATTTAAACCCCCGACATTAGGTCCTAGCGGGGAGGGAGGGGAAAAATGTATTACTTTTTATAACAGCGTGTTATGCTTTCTTGACAGTTAACTTGGGGCAGGTGTTTTCTGGGCTGGAGCTTTCTGGGCTTTTGGAGGCCCAGCCGTCTGACTCTCAGCTTCCTCCTTCTGGGCGGGAGCCCCCTTCTTAGCTGGAACCTATGCAGCACTTGGGGGACACTTCCAGGAGCGCCGCCCGCCGTTGGAAGCTTTGATACCCCAAGTATTGGCTCTCCGCCCTGGAGGTGGTTGATCCATAAGCAAGCTAAGAGGAACAGAGAGACAGAGGGACTGGATTTTATTAGAGGCCTGTCTGAGCACCTTACCCCTGTAGCACCTTGCCTGTTTAGTGAGTGCTCCCGCTGTTGCCGTTTGTCACAAGCTATTTACTCTAGCTTCTTCTGCAAATACCAAATACAGACTCCGTGCAGGTGGGCTGTAAGTCTGAAGATACGTGAGTGATAGGACTCACCGACTACGGATGCCAGGAGCAATTGCAATGTTGCTGGACGATCCCATCATCCATTACTGGGGGCTAAGTCTTGGGACATCTATTTTTCTATCTGCTGTCTATCACGACTGGGAAGGCGAAGAGAGGTTGACCTGGCTTTTAGCAGGACAGGAAGCAGCCAGGAACATTCCAGGCTCTGGCTGAGCTCCTGGAAATGGCCAGAGCAGGCTGGTAACAGAGAAACCACCAGTCAGTATGCATAAACAGGGCTGACTCACACCAACACAGCGGCAGTCTGTTCCCCGCCCACGGCTTCTCAACGTCATGTTTTGTTATTTGGATCCTCATTTTCTTTGCCATCACGACTCACCTGCCATCAAAATCTGGCACTTGGGCTTTCTTTTCTCCAGCTTCAACCCCCCCTCCCCCATCGCTTTATTGAGATATATATTCACATATCATACACTGCCCTGTTCAATCATTTTACAAAGATTTGCGTATACATCACCACAAGCAGTTCCAGAATTTCCTCTGCACTCCGGCATTCATATTTGCTCCCCAATTCCCTCCAACTTCCATCCATAACTCCAATAAACCATGACCACAGTTATTGTCTCTTCACATCCGCCCAATCTGTGCTTCATGTCCTGGAAAACATACAAACAAAACAAAACAAAAAACCAAATGAACAAAGAATGAGAACAGCAAGCAGAATAAAAAACCAACAACAACAATATTGCAATCAACCGGGGGTGGGGGTAGGGGGGAGAATCTCTGTTGAAAAAGAGCAGGAAATACAGAAAACTAGAACAAATCCAAAAAGGGTCAAAGGGGAGATCAAACGACCAGGTTCCACCTTTTAACCTAAGTCCATCTTCCGGGATGGAGTTGTCAACAGTCCCTGTCTGACAGCAAGGTCATTCACATCTCTGTGCCGTGCTCCGAGGGGAGCCATCGGGGGTTGAATCAGTGTAGGAACCCTGCAAATGGACTTGGGGTTCCCCTCTCATCCTTTGGCTTCACCCTTCTTGGCCCTTTGACTACCTGTTTTGCATTGCGATCCACCTTCTGCCAGGCTTGATGATTCTGTTTCCTCCTGGTAGGCACTGTGTGGGACCTTGAAGGTGGACTCACTGGGTTGCATGAATTTGAAGGGCTGGGCCTGCCTCCTTACTTGAATCCAATGTCCACCAATCAAGTCCTGTTCTGATTACCACACCCACAATTGCACCCAGTTCCCCAGGAAGAAGTTCAAAGGAGATGTGGGCTACCCGAGCAACTTCCCCTACGCACCTGAACACCACCTTGGCAGAGCGGGGCTGGAAGAGAATTGTTTTCTTTTACTGTTAAACATTTCTAATTGAGATATGATTTGCATATGGTAAAATGTACTCTTTTGGGTGTACAGTAGAACTCCGGACCTTGATGCTAATCCGGTCTAGAAGGAGCACTGAGATGTGATGCAGTTGAGTTCTAAATCAATTTTTCCCACAAGAAATAACTGAAAACGGGTTAATCTGTTCTCGACCACCACGTTTTTACCCTAACCTTGCCTTTTTATACAAAACATTACACAGAAATTTCAAAATAAATAAGTTAGGAGTTCATTTATATCATTTAAATGAGAAACACAACATTAAAAAAGTTTTTAACAACTACAGTCTGGCCCAAACCTTGAGATTGATGAGGATCTGGATCTGTGGACATGGATGTGGGGAGGAGGGATGGAGAGAGAGTGTCATTGTTTGGAAGGAGAATCCCCTTCCATAAAAATCAACTGGTAGCTGCTTTTCAGGAGTTTCCCCCCTTCTTTGCCTTTTTTCACTAGGGTCTGGCTGTTTTTCTCTTTAAAAATAATCTGTCTCATGTGGTCTGCTGTTGGTGTTTCCTTAACTGTTTTCTAAAAGGGTTTACTAAATTATCAACAATATCTATAACATGGTTAGCCAGTTCCTTATCATGATGATACTTTAAAAAAACTCTTTCTGTGGGGAGGAGATGAGCCAGTCAGGGTGCAGTATAGCACTGATAAAACATACAACTTTCCTCTAGTTCTTGAATGCTTCCTCCCCACCACTATCATGACCCCAATTCTACCTTACAAATCTGGCTACACCAGAGCATGTACACGGGTACAGATAAGAGCTGGAAACATAGGGAATCCAGGGCAGATAAAGCCCTCAGGATCAATATTGAAAGTAGCGATACCAGGAGCATAAGGGTAAGGTGGAGGGAAAAAGAGGGAACTGATCACAATGATCTACATATAACCCCCTCCCAGAGGGATGGACAACAGAAAAATGGGTGAAGGGAGACATTGGTCAGTGTAAAATTTGAAAAATATAATAATTTATAAATTATCAAGGGTTCATGATGGAGGGAGGGGGGGAGAGAGAGGGAAAAAAATGAGCTGATACCAAGGGCTCAAGTAGAAAGAAAATGTTTTGAAAATTATGATGGCAACAAATGTGCTTGACAGAAAGGATGGATGGATGCATTGTGATAAGAGCTGTACAAACCCCCCATAAAATTATTTAAAAAACAAACAAACAGAGTCAGAACCTTCCTTCCAACCATGAAGGCACAGTGGAAACAGATCGCCTGGATCCAGGCTTTTCTCCAGGTGCTGTCCCCTCAACCACCGGTGACAACACCATAGATGCTCGGCTGCTTGGGAAGCACACGGTTAAAGCCAAGGTGGTCACCTTTCCTCAAAGATTGCTCCCACCAATACTTTCTTCAATGTGCATGACTTCATGCCTCGGGGGTCACTGATGGTGATTACAATCAGGGCTCCACCTGCCACTTTGCTGCCACCACACCGATGCATTCTGGTCCTGAGTTTCCCCTTTTGCAAGAATCCTTGCATATTGCCGCCCCCACCCCCACCCTCTCCTCCTCCAACAGTAACATTGCTGGGGGTGAAATTCACGGGACCAGGGAGTTCAGCGACAGAGACCGATCTCCTATTGAGTGAGTTTCAACGCAGCAAATTGGGTATCACCCAACTCCTTAAAAAGGGAACACGATGTATATTCCTATCACCAGGGGCCAGAGCACAATTGTGCCTGGGTCCTGGCCTAGCAGAGGGAAGGGTGACATGGGGAGCCTGGGAACAAAGGCGCTTTGTCCTGGTGGCTGGCAGCTCAGTTGGTATGTGCTCTTCGGTTTACCATTTAAAGAAAACCTGCCAGACCAAGACCACAAGGGAGGGGACACACGTTCTCAGAAGGTGAAGACTGACAGGACCCAGGGGACCATTTTGCTTTCTTTCCCTCAGCCTTGGTCAGTTATTTACTTGCAATTTGACTAAGTCGTCTTATAGCTACTTATAGAACAAAACACTTCCCTAATTTTTGCTTAGGTCTCTACAGGAAAAATAGCATAGCTCCTGGGAATTTGGAAACCCCCGTCACTTATCTTTCTTAAATAAGAAGCCCTATAATTCATCTTCTTAATAAAAAAAAATTCCAACATCTGCAACCTCTATTTTGATACAGAATTGCGTTAGGAAAATGGCCTAATATAATTTAAGCGTGTCAGTCAGACATGGGAGCTGTACTTACCTCACCCGTGACACACGTTCTTTCTGAAGGAAGTTTCTTCTGTAGAGGAGTCGCCTAATTCATACTAATTTCCAATAATTTTCTGAACAAGATGTTTGCCATGCCCTCTGAATTGTTGACATCCTCTGTGCTTATAAAATAGTATTTTCCTTGACTGCCAATGAATATTGTAGTCAAGTATATATCTAACAAAAGTTTGCTGTTTGAAGAAGACTTTAAGGTGGCTGATAAACACATACGGGAACATGCTCTCAATTGTTTGCCATTTGAAGGATGGATGCAAATCGGAAGAAGAATGAGATATCGCCTCACCCCAGCAATAACAGCAACATTCAATAAGACCGAAAGCAATACATGCCGGTGAGGGGGGCAAGGTTGGAACTCTCATATTCTGCTAGCAGGATAGTACAATGGTACAACCCCTTTGGAAAATGGTAGGGCGAGCCCTTTAAAAGTTGGAAGTAGAAATACCATTTGATATAGCAGCACTACTACTAGGAGAAGTAAGATCCTGGAGAATTCAGATCTGGGAAAGACCATATATACTCGGAAGAGATGAGCCACTCAGGGTGCAGTACAGCACCGATGAAACACACAGCTTTCCTCTAGTCCTTGAATGCTTCCTCCCCACCACTCTCATGACCCCAATTCTACTTTAAAAATCTGGCTAGACCAGACCATGTACAAGGGTACAGATAAGAGCTGGAAACACAGGGAATCCAGGACAGATAGACCCCTCAGGACCAATAATGAGTGTAGTGATTCCAGGAGGGGAAGGTGAAGGTTAGGGAGAAAGCGGGGAACCAATTATAATGATTTACATACACCCCCCTCCCAGGGGGATGCACAACAGAAAAGTGGGTGAAGGGAGACATCGATTAGTGTAAGACATGAAGAAAAAAATTTATAAATGATCAAGGGTTCATGAGGGAGGGAGGGTGGGGGAGGGAGTGGGAAAAATGATACCAAGGGTACAAGTAGAAAGAAAATGCTTTGAAAATGATGATGGTAACATACATACAAATGTGCTTGACACAATGGATGTATGTATGGATTGTGATAAGAGCTGTATGAGCCCTCGATAAAATGAGAAAAAAAAGAACATATATACTCATACTCATATATTTATAACCATATATTATTCACAATAGTACAGAGAAGGAAACAACCACAATGCCCATCATTGTGATTGAATAAACACATGATGATACATACATATACTGTGCAACATTAAAGAATGATGATGAATCTCCATAACTCTTTATAATGTGAAAGAAGCCAGAGGACATTATGCTGGGTGAAATAAGTCAATCACAAAACGACAAATATTGTATGAGCCCACTATTATTATAAATCAAAGAAAGGTTTACACACAGAAATTGATGGTTACCAGGTAAAGCCACCAACCAGATAATAGACACATATTAACTTCGGTGAAGAGAAAAGCAATATACAACAAGGAGGTGATCTGCACAATACCACTACAGAAAAGGAAGAAGAATCCAGTCTAAAAACAAGAGAGCAAAGATTACAGAAGACAATAGAGGTAAAAGATTATTTCATGCATTGAATGTTTGATAGCATTATTGATAAGATATTTGATAGGTATCTTTGAGTCTTTGTAAAAATGAGTGACAGGTAAAAAATACTAAACAAATTCAAATTAATAAATGAAAATGAAGCAAATTCAATTGAAAAAGCAATACATGGACTATCTCAGGGTGATAATCTTGGGGGTCCTTGCAATTGGGACCAAGATGCTTAACTTTGGAATGGTTTCCACGGTGTGTCAGGCACTATTCCAAACACTGTAAAATTTCAGAGAGAAATCAAAAACAGGACAATGATAAACTCCAGGAAAACCAAGTTATGTAAAGAAAGGAAACTATCATACTGTATCACAAAAGTTCTGTAGGAAAGAACACGTGTATATTTAAATAATCTCAGTACTGGAAGAGACCCCTGCTTTCAGGGAGTCAGTGAAATGAAGAGGCAGGAGTAGAGCGTGTACAATCCAAAAGCTCAGTAGGAGAGTAACAGCCTACAGTGAATACATATATCACTGGATGTATGTGTGAATTACTTAGCAGTACGGAAGTGTATATAGGAGAAATCGCAAAAAAGAAAAAACGTTTCAAATGTAGGAAGAAATTTTACAGTCAATGGAAACAGTGCCTGGCAAACAGTGGAAACCATATCAAAGTTAGGCATCATGTTCCCGACTGAAAGGACTCCCAAGATTCTCACTCTGAGATACTCCATAAACTGTATTATGGATTGAATTGTATTCTGCCAAAACAGTTGTTTTGAATCCAACCTCTGCACCTGTGGTTACAGTTCCCTTTACGAGTGGGTTGTCTGACCTTGAGTTCAATCGCCTGTCCGGTACCAAGCCCGACTTGCTGACCTTGGACTCACCCGCCTCGGCATCCTGTGGTGTTCCTGTGATTTTGGGGTTGTCAGTCCTCACAGCTGTAGGAGTCAGAAGTCTCAGGTTTATCTCACCCACACAGACTGGACTGGTCTGGACTTACCTGCGTAGGTGTAAATGTGTGAGCCCTTGTCTTGATATAAATTTCTTTCTATATACATCCTTACATCACTGTTTGCTTCTCTAGAGAGCCCTCACTCCCACCCCATACCCCGTCCCCTATCCAATACAAAGGCCAAGCCACAAGGAAATCTTCAATGAACCGGGAGATGCAGCTCAAGAGACAGACATCTTCCCCCAGAGCCCGAAGAGAAAGCCTCCCCCAGAGCGGATTCCCTGAATTTCGACTTCTAGTCGCTAAACGGAGAAAGGACCCGTCTTCTGGTTAAAACCGTCCACTCGCCAGGAACTGTTGGTGAATGGTTTGATGTCCTAATAAAATGTTTTTCACAAGATCCCCTTTGGGTACTTCTGTTAGGCAGCACTCCATAACTCAAGGAAGCTTTGAGCCCAAACTAGCCCCTAAGGTCACCTTTCAGCTAAATAACAGGCTCATAAAATAAAGAATAATACCAGTGAGCACTGCTTACCTTTAAGAAGTCATCTATTTGAGACCACATGGTCAACCGTCACACTGACATCGAGCCGACAGGGAAAAGGGAACCCAGTTTACTGACAGCAACAAATACCTCAGGAAATTAACGGGCACGTGGGTGCCCTGCAGGAAATGTAATCAATGGCTCTGAGCAGAACTGTTGTGTAGTCATGGCTAAATGGGAGCCTAAGTCACTGTAAATACAAGGCCCAGTTTATAAAGGTGAGCACCACATGGAAGGACATAATTCATGGTCACAAAACAATTGGGGGCTACACCAGACCATTGAGAAGGTACAAGATAGGGTGAGCAGATGATAAAGACCCGCCTTTGTGAAAGGACTCCTCTGAGTCTCAAGGGAAGACCTGGATAACGCGGTGGTTAAGCAGGTGGCTGCTATCTGTAAGGTCAGCTAGGAAGCCACCAGCCACCCCATAGAAGGCAGATGGAGCAGTCTACTTCCGTAGAGAGTACAGCCGCTGTTTTCTGGAGACACCGAAGGAGCTGGTTCTCTTTGTGTAAGGGTGGCCACGGTTCTAAGAAGCATCTTAAGGGCTGAGTTGGTTTACTGTGCCAACCTGGCTGCTAAACACATGTGGGGCTAATTGAAGGGTGGAGGGATAAATGGCTCAGTGAGCCTCACCTTTCTAGCTCTCGGGTCTCTTGCTTTGTGATGGTCAGACCAGGGTGCAGCTGCCTTAGCCAGTTCCCTGCTTCAGGTTGCAAGGCTGACTTCCTGCAGGACATCCCTGAGGAGAAGCCACATGGACCTACCCCGGTGCAACCCTGGGTGCTGGAGCAGCCGTGTGGAGACTCCTGTCAGCGCTGAGATGCTTGCACATTCACTGATTCGGCTTTCCTCCTGCAGTCGGCATCATAGTGTGTTTTGTGAGATGGAGGAGGACTTTGTGCATTGGTGTTGGACATATGGGTTAATGTTGGACTTGTGGGCTTAGGCAGCACTGGGTTGGGATGTTTTCTTGATGCTCACTTACCCTTTATATAAAACTCTCTCTTATACATGAGTTTCTGTGGATTTGTTTCTCCAAAGTATCCAGACTAACACAAGGGTGTAGCTGCTCCACAGCATTGAAGGAGGGACGAACTGTGTGGTATGTTTACTCCTGGTCCAGCCTCTGGTCCCCCCAAACTAAGAGAATGTCTCTCGCTGGTCATTTTCTTAAAAAAAAAATCATTTTAGTGGGGGTTCGTATAGCTCTATCACAATCCACCCATCCATCCATTGTGTCAAGCACACTTGTACATTTGTTGCCATCATTATTCTCCAAACGTTTGCTTTCTACTTGAAGCCTTGGCACTGGTCATTTTCTCAAGGAGCAGACTTCCGTATGCTCTGAGTGGAGATGAAGCTAAAAAAAATTGCACCCAGCGTTTCCTGACGGCAAGGTCGGGATGGACATAACCTACCCTTCTGGTTTTCTGGATGTCATCAGTCTCGGCAAGACCAGAGAGCGTTTCTGTCTGATCTATGACACCAAGGGTCTCTGGGCTATTCATCGCATCACCCCTGAGGAGGCAAAGTACAAGTTGTGCAAAGTAAGACAAAGTACAAGTTGTGCAAAGCATGAAAGGAAGCCCTCACCTGGTGAATCGCGATGTTCCCACCACCCGCTCTCATCCCCTCATCAAGGCAAACGACACCGTTCAGATTGATTGGGAAACTGGAAAGATGCCTCATTTCGTCCACTCTGACACTGGTAATCTATGCTCTGAACCACGCCTGTCTGTTTTCCCATTCATTCACTAGAGGAACTGCGCAGCGCTGGTCCCATCCATCCATCCATCCATCCATCCATCCATCCATCCATCCATCCATCCATCCATCCATCCACTGCTTCTGAGTTGATTCCCTCTCATAGCAGCCCTGTAGTGGGTTTCTGAGGTTGTAAATCTTTACACAAACATAGCCTCGTCTTTCTTCCAAAGAGCAGCTGGTGGTTTTGAACTGCCTACCTGGCAGTACCATCATGACTCCTCTTGCAAATCTCACAGTAAGAGAAATCAACCAACTATACCAAAGAAATCAAACTACACAGCGTTACTCAGAAGTAGCCTCTACATTAGTGTACAGTGAGATTTAGATTGGACGTGTGCATTCTCATTAAATTGCCTTAACAAGCTGATACTTTTATTGCTGACACTTTTATGTTATATACTGAGATAGGAATGTGAAAGGAAATTTGATGATTATGGCCGTATATATGAAAGGTCTTCAAAAAGTGCTTTAAAAACTGGGATTAGCAGGTAATGGAATTCTATTTTTTTTCAAAGTCCCTTCACAGTGCACCGTTATGCAGGAAGCATTGGGAATTCTAGAGGCAAAGCAGCCATGGGTTGGTTTGGTTTTAGAAATAACTTTTAATCTTTCATATCAGTAGTGTATAATTCTACATCTTGAAAGGAAAAGTTGAACAGAAGTGTAGTTATAGGATTTGGTATGGTAACCCTCAAATGTTAGGAGACATGATAAGAAAATGCCTGTCTCTAACACTGAAATCAGTTTCGTCTTGTTAATTGAATGAAATTCATCATTTACAGAAATCATCCACCCTACGAGGTGGTTTCTAAACGTTTTCCATAAATTTTAAGGCAATTGAGGGCATTTGTCATAGAATCTAATCTGCTCTCATTAAAATGAAGTCTGTAAGGACATGAATGTGTGAATGTTAGTCTTGGGGTGTGTGTGTGTGTGTGTGTGTGTGTGTGTGTGTGTATGCATGTGCATGTGTGTGTCAGTGAAGGGAGTATGGATGGTCATTTAATTTGCAAGGAGTATAAAAATATGAGCTTAGAGACAGACATTTGTAATGGTGACTCCAACTTTGTCCATGATTTGTGGTTCACATGTTGATGTGTGTTGAGGTGGGCTGTTTGCTGGGCTGCTTGGCACGTGGTGGGAGTGCCTGTGGTCTGATAGGCTGAGCTGATGTGTAGTGTGGTGGACCTGTCATGTGGGTGAATGGGAGGTCAAGTTGGTAGGGAGTGAGGGCTGGTGAGAAGTGAGGCTGGGCGTGGGCCTCAGGAAGGTGGGAGGCTGTAATAATGTATGTGGGTATAGCATGGGCATGGTGTGTGTGTGTGTGTGTGTGTCAGAGAGAGAGAGAGAGAGAGAGAGATTTGCTCTGCCATTTAGCTTTTGTTTAGATTTTCTTTTGCCCTTTGTTCTGGTCTTTGTTTATCTGTTGTTTCGTCTTTGTTTCACTCTTTGTTCAGACTTTCTTTGACTTTTGTTTGCCCACTTCTTTAGCCCTTTGTTTAGCGTTTGTGTGGCCTCTTTGTGGCCCTTGTGTAGCTTTTGTTTTTAAGTGGGTCTTGACAGGAGGGCTCATCACAAACACCTTGTGTAATGAGAACCTCGGAGAGCTACCTCTCCCTATATATGCTGCATGCACTGAGGTGCCTTCAAGCCCCGAAGGGACCTGGAACAGCCGGGGAACCTGTCCCAGGGCAACAACGGCCATCTGAAGGTAAGGGGATCCCATTGATTTTCATCCTCCTCCATCATCTTCTTTCCCTTTCTGCTTCAGCCCCAAGTGGCAAGTGTAACATTTTTGTAGGCACCATTTCATCATATCCCCGGTGGGGTGTGGGTGTGGTGGTGAATTTGTTCTAATAACAAGGCCAGGTTGGGAAGACATAAAAGGATGGAGAAAACAAAGTTAGAGGACATCAAGCTCATTCTGATGTGGGCTCGTGTCCTCTCGAAGCATTCTTGCTCGTGCTTGGCAATGTCTGAGCCTCAGGACGGGTTGTGGATGAGAACTCAGATATCCTCAGTTTCAAAGCCCTGGGACTCCATCCATGAGCCAATTAGTTTCTTTTTATTATTTGCAATGTTTTAAAAATGAGTTTCCCTTGTATTTCAAGAATAAATTCTTCCCTTGTAGGGCTGGGTTTTTTTGGTATCTGGGATGCAAATGAAACAAAAAGGTCAACTCTTTTTAGGACGTTGCTCTCTGTAGACACATGATCTTGCATGGAATGACAGGAATGCTTTATCTGAAAGAGAATTTCTGAGAAATCAGACAATTTTCGGTGGTGTGGCTGATAGAAAATAAGAGGGAAGATGATGTGGCAGGGGAATGAAGTAAGAAACCTTATGTAGAGTGTCGGAGAACAGTTGGGGAAGTTGTTTATGCTTTTGGCAAAATGAAGGGAGAAAGTCAACTGTTTTCCTGCCTAGAGATCCGCTGTTTTATGTTTGTTGAGAGCCTAAGGGGAATGCCCTCCTTCATGAGAGGATTTCAAAGACTGTTCCAGACTTACTGAACATTTGCAAAAACAGTACAAACAAAAATCACAGGTGTACCCAGATTCCCTAATGTCAACACTTTAATACATTTGCTTTACACACACATCATTATTTTTTCCTAAATCACCTGAGAGTTAGCTGCCGACAGGATCAAAATAGAAAATTTAGCATTGAGAAAGCACTAGAATTGAATGTACAGATATCTGGCTTCCCTCAATTGTCCCAGGCATCCATCCAGGTTTATATTTTGCATTTTTTTCATTTCATTATGATTTTTAAAAATGCAATGTCACATACAGTACTTTTTATTGAGAGCTGTGCATTCCAAAGCAAGCCAATCTTTTTTTTAAAAAAACATATATATATTACCTGTGGGGTTCAGTGGGAAGATGTTATCCCACTTGTAGTCCTCGCTGTCACACAAGAAGCAGCCTCATCCCACCAACACAACATCAGAGACCCCCTGGGGACACAGGTAGATGCCTTGCTCTAAACCCAAAACTAACTCATTGGCGCTCAGTAGGTTCCTTCTCATGGCAACCCTGCAGCACAGAGCAGACAGAACTGCCCTTGAGGGTTTCTGAGACCGGAGTACAAAGTCTCTTCTTTGTTCCAAGGAGCAGCTGGTGATTTTGAACCACAGACCTTGTGTTAGCAGCCCAAATAAATCACAATGTCATCTTATCAAACTCCAGATTACCTCCCTCCAATGTTCCCCACCCCTTTCAAAATGTCTTCCGTGACTGAAAACTCATGGTATCAGCAAGAACAAGATCAAAGCAGGAAATAATTCTACCATGAAGAAGTTCGTTTAAATTCTTTGTGTGTTCTAATCCCGAGCACACAAACACGAGGAATTGTTTCATAAATGCAATCATTCCTTTCTGTGCCCAAGCATCTACCAAACTACCTACACGTAGTTCAATAGAGAGCTTCTCTGAACAGCTGGCACCCTTTGGCACATTGGCAGGAAGTTGACATCAGCAGTGGAGGTATCCTTCTGCCAAAATTGGGCAAAGGCTCTTAATCAAGAGTTTCTGAAGGGCATGAGTCCCCAAATCCCAGCATGGAGCCCTCCTTCACAGAGGACATGGACCAAGGCTTGTGAGACCCCTGAGATGTATCACACATTTATTATTATTTTTAAAACAAAGCTTTTCAACAAAATCTGTGAGGTGGAGGACATTGTACATTTTGTAGACAAAACCATTAAGATTCAGAAAACTAACCCGTGATTATGCGATTAATGAATGGTAGAGTTCAGAAAGAAAAGTGGACTGTATGCCTACTGATTGTTTTTTCCTATTGATCTTTTTACAGGTGGGTGACATGTACTGCCTCTTATACGAATGGCATATGCTGCAAATTTACAGCAATTAAAATGATAGCGATAAGCTTAAAATAAGATATATAATATTTTAACCATATACTTTCTTTATTAATAACTCAAGTGTATTGTTCTCAGGGAAAATATTACCAGTAGTAATAATGAGAGAATTGGGGTTCGTGTCTGGTTTTTTTCCCCTGCTTTGTTTATGCGTCTGACCAAATGGTCTTCCTGGAATCAGAGACAGAATCACTCTACCCGTGGTCTTCGAAGTCCTTTGGGCTGATATTATCAATACAATCTGAACTCTTTAAAAAATCACTAGGTAGTTCCTCATGGCAAGGTCAATTCAGATAAAACCACATGATACAATGAGCACATCCACTAACCGGACACACATACTGCCATCTCTGGGGGTGCATTGAAAGCCAGGGCGTGTGAAAGAGGTCAGTGATCCTGGGGGTAGGGCTGTGTAGAGTGGGGATGGCGGTGGAGCGATTGCGTTCTTATCTTTTAAGATAACAATAAATATAGAAAGGCCAGTGTCACGCAGACCTTCCTGCACCCCAGAGAGACATCGTGGGGCCACCCTCTGGAGTATGAGCACTCTGTTTTGAAGGCCATGGTCTGTTGTCCCAGCCTAACACTTCAGTCACCCCAGGGCACAGTAGAGCAACACCAGCTCCTCTGATTATCTCAGTCTTGCCCTGTCCAAAGCCTGGGTCATCGCCATCCCAGGACCATTCCCAGTCCCTTCTCAGGCCAGCAGGGGGGCATGTCTCTCATTCTTTCTGTACCTGGGGCTGCCGCTGTCCAGTGAAAACCACACCTAAGCAGTTGATAACTACATGTGCACAGCGATCCAACCCTCCCAAGGCTGTCTGGTCCAGCTCTCCAAAGAAGCCACACAACGAGCAGGGCAAAGAGGTCGCTATCTCCCTCAAAGACTTCCATTGAGAGGAATGTCCACACGCCCAATGGGAGCACTCTCCGAGACTCGAAGAGTTCTATAAGAAAAAAAAATGTCCCGGTGGTTTCCCCCAGAAACAAGAGATAGTCTCTTCAAGGTCAAGTTCAAGTGCCTGTCCTTGAGATTGTTGTAGGGAGCCTGGCAAAGACAGAGCACTCATTGGGTTGATGCCTAAGCGGGAGATCTTACATCTGGAGGGAGTTTCATTGTTTGGGGTTGGAGACCGACTTCCCAGCAGACTTTATTTGTTTGGGGAAAAGTACCAAAATGAGTTCTTTAGCTGTGCAACAGAAAAGGAAGGCGGAGGCGGGCCATGTGATCTTTGCAGTAAAGGAAATGAACTGCGTGTAATAGGAGGGTCGCGTGGATGGAGTGGACTCATGCTTTCTTTCCTACATGCGGAATTAGAGGGGCAGTTTGGGGTTGCTATTTAATGTAGTGCTACCTATTATCTGGACCACAGAAGTCACCCTGTAGTTTGAGAAAGGATTATGCTTTCCTTTCGGGATGATGTATTATGCAGTCCCATGATGCACCATGTAGGGTGGGAAGTGAGGGCCTCCGGCTCTCACGCACCAAAAGAATTGGGAGCGTGGTCCTAGCAGGCTTACAAGGCTGGGAGTGTCTCATGGAAGGGCTCCTTCTGATAGCCTGGAGGTCTGCTGGAGCCGGGCAGGGGCCCGGGGACTGGGTTTGGGTACATGGGTTCTGGTAGTGACCTCTTCTAGCATGCAGGGCACTTTGGGGTGGGTTTTGCCATTGCTACCACATTACGGGGTTACTTGGTGCTAAACTCTGGGTGCTGATGGGAATGGTCAGGGTCTGCATTCGGAGGGAATGGGCGTAAGAGAGCATTCTGGAGAAGCAGCGTTTTCAAGAGCAATGACATTTCAGACAGAGTATAGGCCACTTCTTTCTTACGGAATCCAAAAATTAATAAAGAGAGAGGAATGCATCTTCAGCGAATCACAGCATGTGGGTGGTAGGTTTCTGCAACTTTGTAATAAATGACCCTAGCTTTAGTGGCTGCCACCCCCCAAACCACCCTGCCATCGAGCTGGTTTCCACTCAGGGTGACCCCCAGAGAGGGTGTCTGAGGCTGTACATCTTTCCTGGAGCAAATGACCTCATCTTTCTTCTGAGGAGCAGCCGGTGGGTTTGAAGAGCCAACCTTGCCTTTCACAATCCAATGTGTATCCAACAGCACCCCCAGGTGCTTCTCTTAACACAGCACCCATTCCTGATCTCAATTCTCTGGGTCAGACATCCAGCAGGCTTTGGGAGGTTCTCAGTAGGCGGAAATCAAGATGCTGGTCCCCTAGGCTCCTAAGTGGAAGTTGGGGTTGGGGCTGGAGGGGGAGAGACGAATCTGCTCCCAAGTTCCTTCAGCAAGTGGGTGGAATTTTGTTTCTGGGTCTAGAGGAATGAATTTTCTGTGTTTTCAAGCCAGAAATGGTTCAAGCAAACGTTTCTAAGGCTTTGAACTCCTGGGACCACTTTTGTCATATTTCTCTGACTCCAGTCACAAAGTTCTTGGCTTCTAAGGGCTCTTGTGATTTGAGGGGATGCCCTCCCTGCACGCCCCACCGAAACAATCTAGGATAATTTCCCTATTTTAAAGTCTGTCAACTTAATCACAAAGGCAATGTTTCTTTTCTTTTCTTGCAATGCTTCTTTTTGCCATGCAGTGTAACATTCAAATATTTGCCAGGTTTCCGTGATGAAAGCCCAAACCCAAACCAAGCCCACTGCCATCGAGTTGATTCCAGCCCACAGTGCCCCTCCATCGGGTTTCGGAGGCTTTTAAATATTTCCTGTAGCACACAATCTCACCTTTCTTCCAGGGAGCGGCTGGGGGGTTGAACTGTTGATTTGGTGACTAGAGTACATACATTTCTACCTACCACAGGCAGTGTAG